CACTGTCTTAGCCCGGTCTACCGCCCAATTCAAGCGCGTGGGGGAGTTGTTTGTTATACGTAGCCGTTGCCGTGTGTCATAAACAACTCCCAGCTCGCCTAGCAACGCCAATCACGGGACCGCCGCATCTCGCCGCGCGCTTGAATTGGGCGGTAGGCCGGGCTAAGACAGCGGTGTTTAATAATTAATAACTCGTTAACCATTGCGAGAATTGCAAAATGGTAGAGGACTTTTCAGCTCAGTCCAATCCGCTCTATCCGCAAATAAGAGGTGAAACGGGTATTACATAACACCCTGTATAAATGTGCAAGTTGGATAAGACAAGGACGCCCGATATGTCCGAACGTTAAATGATTATACGCGGTATTTATAATCACATTAATAATGCCATTTAAAGCATCCGACGACTGAAATCCACCGCCGAATGAAATGACAAATTAATTTATTTGATCGATTCTATTTTCCGTTTGTCCGACGTGAGAGGAAAAGGGGGCGACCGATAAAATAAAATCGACCTGATTGATATCGTGCCGATACCGTAGCTGCGCGAATAACCACCATAGTTTCGGGCTTTATGTGCTTTTCCGAATGCATGCGACGACGGGAAATAACGTAACACTCGGGAAAGCTTTCGCGGGTATCTCCAAATCGGCATCGTAAAGTTGAAAGCCTTCGGTTTTACTTTCCTGTTGTGTTTCTCGCAACGAGCGCGCAACAAAGATCAGTGTACGGCTCTGAAAAAGGGGCTCTATTGTCAAGAAGTAAATAAGAAAGAATGATTAAAGTACTCTCGATAATTAAATTAACAGGAAATTAAAGTAGCGAAGAAAGGCAACGAGAGTCGACGCGGTTCTTGTCGAAGTCTCCAATTTAATGGGGATTGTAAATACGCGTTTTCCGCACGCCGTAGTTATCGCTCGCGATAACAATCCGCGATTTGCGAAAGATCGCGGACAATCGTCCGCTACTCGTCTCCGACGAACAAAGAGACACCGGCCGCGATAATAATTTCGAAGTGTCCCCCCTCGGCGGCAGGTGAATCACTCGCGAGATTTCGTTCGACGACCTCGCCGTACAAAGATCTTCCTCAAAATAACTGGAGAAATTCGTCGACAAAGTGACGAGACAGCGCCTCCCCTCCCCAAATCAGATCAGGACGGTCGTTAACTTCGTTATCGGCCGCTAAACCGATCGACGACGTCTCGAGAGGGCTCATGACATATTTATGAAATCGCTGGGAAAGCGAAGTCAGGAAAATCGGGATTACATCCGCGTGTTCCTCGACCGAGTCTTGCGGTACGAATCTAGTAGCGAATTTGGTTGGTTGCACTAGTGCGCGCTGAGTGCACACTACAATAAGCCTTATTTCCAGTCAATTCTTACATTTAAAGATCATTTTGAATACTTGCAATATTTTTTTATCCAGAAAAATGATCTGTACAACGTTTACACGGATCATTTTTGGACTAAATACTCTGAACGTGTATTTAACAAAGTTAAGTATAAGAACTGACTATAAACAAGCCTTAGTGTGCATTCAGTGCGCACTAGTGCAAGCAACCGAATTCGCTACAAGAATTGCGTTCTCCAATGCTGACGTTAAAGCCAACGGCACACGATACTATTTTTCCAACTGGATTGACGAGCGCCAATCCAGGATTTAGCCTCGAGTCACCTGATCTAAAACTCTGGACCCTTATTGGCTCTCGTAAGCAATCCAGTAGGGGAAAAACAGTATCGTGTGCCATTGGCTTAATTAAGGGGACTCGACAGTTCGTTCCTTCGTTTTTAAAGCACCTTTTCTCGAAGAACAACCGTCAACCGGGAACTGTTCCACAATGCGTATGTCGCGACAGCCCGACGAGTCTTTCACACGAAAATTTGGCGCGACCGCTTACGCAATCACAGACGTCTACGCGTCAGAGATTCGTCTCTATCGGCAGCTGTTTTTTTTCCCTAAAATGAACATGTCCGTTCCGCGGCAATATCTCTCTCTCCCCCCGTTCCCCTTTCCCCAGCTTCCGGTAGCGAAGCCACCGGCGAGTGTGCGTACAGAAACGATCTCGCCGTCGGTTCGCCGGGATTTCGAATGAATAAACATTGTCTAAACCACGACAGTGGGTCCCCGGGGGCACGCTGCGCCCCCGCCGCCCCCCACGCATCGTTTCACGGTCGTTCCGCTCCGAAATTCGTGACTTCACTTCCGCCTACTACGCTCGGCGCACCGTGCGGCGCGGCGCGGCGGGTGCGTTGACCCTTTTCGAAGGTCGTCGTACCTTTCTACGTTCGTGACTCGCTCGGCTTCGTGGATCGACCTTAATCTCTCGCCGGTTCGCGACGGCTCGTTCACCTCTTTTTTTTCCCCTCCCGCTCCCCCTCCTTCTCTTTCTCTCTTCCCCCCCCCCTTCGATCTGGCTATTCGAAGAAGCTCGATGATGCAATTATCGTTCTCGTACGCTAATTTTCGCAGGTGAATCGAATCGAAAATAGCCCCGTCGAAAAGTCTGCCGGGAAAGCCCGCGTTATTGATGATGAATACGGAAACTTTCGTCAACGAAAGTTTCGATCTCGTTACGTGTCCTGAAAATTTTAGCTTTGCTTTTACCCTTTTTCTCGCGGAGTTCGATCCTCCGCTCGGCGAACGATTTTTTCCTTTCTCTCGGCTAACAGTAAGCCGAAAATCGAAATTCTGTCAGTGTATCGTCAAGTAATTAGAATTTAATTAATTAATGTATATTTAACAGTTTACGTTCAATATTTCGAAATATTATTTATTTGAGCTTTCACACACACACACACACATACACACACACACACACACACACACACACACACACACACACACACACACACACACACACGCACACGGACTTGGCAGCTTTGCAAATATCATTAATTATAGTAAATAAATTAAATCGAAATACAAGAGCGTTAGTAGTGGCGACAATAATGATTAATGATAACAGATCTCGGTTATTCTTTGTCTTTCTTTTTCCGTTCGTTATTCTCGTTATAATGAGATAGGTACAGTTCTCGCGTTCTTATACGCTCTGTGCCAACGTTTTAATAAAACGATGAAGGATTTTCCCGGGATAAGTGAACGACGTTCGTCAATGCACTTTCTCCAGAGTCAAAAATTCGCGAACGCGACGACTTCCGCGATTTTTCGCTCCTTCGATTCGACTATCGCGAAATCGTGGCGATGGCGCAACAAACGGACCCGACCGGTTGGAAATACACACGAGTGGGACTTGGAGAGACGACACTCGAGATAATGGGCCCGTTTTGGCCCGTTCATCGACAGCCTCGTTTATTTTGTCGAGTCCCGGTCCATAAATGTGTCGCGCAAATCTACACGAGAGTCGGCCGTCTCGTGCGAAGGAATCGATTTAGCGTGCCATAACGAAGTTAACGACTTTGACCAGATTAGTGCGAGAGATTTGTCATTCCCGTTTACCTTACATAAAACCTTATATAAAACCGGTATAAAGCACGAATGTTCGAGGCGAACAACCGCCGAATGGCCGCGGCAATGATGCACACGAATTAATCAACAACAACAGTGATAATTCATGAATCGTGAAAAATTAACGGTAACTTCCTGCGTGTCATAGTAAATCACAAAATTATCAGTTTTAATGGTTTTAATTCAGAAACACGTTCCTAACTCCGTTTTGATTTCTACACGGAGAGAATTTTCTCTTAAAATTTATCCTGAAAATCATGTAATCGTGCACCGAGAACAATGTCCGATCCAATTACATAATAACAAACGGATGTATCCAATTAAATTGTATATTCGATGAAAAATATGATCGGTTTGTCAATCAAATTCCATCGATAACTGCATTTCATCGGATGTATCCATAATTTTATCGGAAAACGTAATCGGAAAAATGAACCATCGGAAACACTATTTAATAGATTTATCCGATGAAATTTTTTCCCACAATCAGCGTGGGACCACACGGCATTTCGAAGAATTTTATGAGAGTGTTTCGAAATTTTGTCATACTTTTTACATACTTAGTACACATTTTGCTAGTAAAATGTATGGTAAAATTTCCAAAGACTCTCATAAAGTTCTTCAAAATGCCACGATTACGTGAGTTTCGAATTTAAATTTTAAAAGAAAATTCTCCCCGTGTACCTCAAATTTTTATCGATTCACATAATTGCGTGTCTCGCGTTCGTAGAAAAGTTAATATTTCCATTGAAATCTAGAAACATATTTGTCCAAGTTATATTTTACATCGATAAGCGAATGTGATCATCGCAGGTCGCGAAATCGTTTTCGCCGCCCACCTTCCTTTCGTCCCCCTGCAAAAACGGGAATTACTTTATCTGTCTGCGCAGATGATATGGCACACGACCGAAAATGGGATTTCGGCAGCATCGGATACTCCATCATTCCCTCTCTCTAAATCCCCCTCCCCCCTTTCTCTCTCGCTCTCCCCGCCTCTCCCTTCGATTCTCGTGAATCGGAATCGTCGGTTTTGCGGTAACGACAACACTCGACAATGAAATCGAACCCGTAGCCGTAAACGGACTAATTGCTGGGATAATAATTATTCTCGGAACTGGCCTAGGGCGGGGAGAGGTCGAGGGGGAGAGAAAGGGATAGATTATCGCTCGCTTGTTTCCGGGGTTATCATCGACACGAGTTCCCGGACATTATTTAGCCGATCATTTGTCAATATTCCCCCGAATCCCTTCTCTTGAATTAAATTCGACCGATACACTATTCGCCTTTTCCTCAATTTTATATCATAATTATCATTGGAGCATAAGATGGAACGTGAGATGCTTTAAACTCGATTGCCTTTCTCCTCCTGCTTCATATGCGCGAACAACTTGACGTCTCTAAGATACTTTATTACACGTAATAGTGAATAAATGGTGTAATCTACTGTTATTCATGAATAACAATAAATAAAACGGAGGAACAAGGTAGCAAGATGAAGCGAAAAGAAAGGAGAGTTATTTACCGCCTGAAATAACACTATACGAAACTATATGATGGCTGTCCAATCGCTTTTCTCTGCAATAACGTTAATAGACCTACAGCAAATGCAGAGACATATTTCTTTTGCTGTCAAAATATATCCTTAGTTAGTTACATCGATCACCAATGCAAGAACATATTTGTAAATTTCGGTGTTGTTTCTGTGATTTCCAGGGCTGTCACCGATCCGAGGGATGGTAGGAGAGTAGCCTTAAAAAAACTGCCGAACGTCTTTCAAAGTCTCGTGAGCAGCAAGCGAGTCTTCAGGGAGCTGAAAATGCTTTGCTTCTTCAAACACGATAACGTGAGTGGTATTATATTTGTCGCGTCAGACGTGTGCGTGATCGATGAACGAGTACAGAGAAAGGCAAGAAAGTGCCAATAGGAACAAACGTCAAAGTAAAAAGGCTGTAATTCTGCCAATAATAAATGGAGCCGATATCGAGTTTCTGGCTTTCGAATGTTTCGTACACGATTACTTATCGCGCACCACTACTGTAATAATTATTACGCGATTGCACACAACAGTTGTCTCATACTTGCACTGACAATTCGCGAATCTTGCGTATCTCTTTTTTTATAATATAAATTTTAAAATCGACTGTTTCAGGTATTAACACACTGACAAAAAATGTTTTCAAACTAACAATAAGTAAATAGATTTACTTAAAATTATTTTTTTACTGAAGTAAATATTTATTCTATTTAAATAATATCAAATTTCAAGTAAATCTGTGTATTATATAAAGTAAATTAATTTAAATCATTAGATTTTCTACATTCAAATAAAGATTTCATGAGATATAGAATATTATTTATTAAACGAAATTATTGTCTTTGTTAAATAAGAAATCCAATTTTCTTCGCTGTGAAAATTACATCTTGATAAACATTTTACAGAATTAAACTAAAAATTTTTTAATTTAAAATGATCTGTTCTTTGTTACTTAATAAATACTTAAATTAAAGCAATGCATCTTTTAATTTGTTTACTAATTTTTTAATTTAAGTTAATAAGCTATTAGGAGCCATCTAATGAGTAATTTTTTTGAGTAAATTAATATTTTTTTATCAGTGCAGAGTTTTTAACATTCGCCCGTTTCTTTTGCTTAATACACTAGTTTTTACTATTTTATGATAATTATTTAGTAGGTGATTATTATTGTAATGATAAAATATCACGACGTAGATTTCGTTTCGTACGCCTCGTAGGCTGATGTACTATTTGGCATATCTAAATGAATACATAAGATTGATCGTATATAAATTGCACCGTGGGCGTCTCGGAAATTTCCGCGTTTTATTTCCCCGAGGACGAGACTGCGTCGTCCTCCCCGCTCGCAGCCTTCTGACTGCTGGACTTCCACTTTTTGCACGAAAAAACGCGGGATCAATCGCACCCTCTCTCTTGCCCTCTTTCGTCCAGTTCAAAGGACGGAACACTCAATCTCTTCCCGTCTCTTTTGCAGGTCCTCTCCGCGCTGGATATCCTTCAGCCGCCGCATCTGGACTTCTTCCAAGAGATGTATCCTTTTCTAAACGCTCGTACTCGAGGACACGCGGAAGATAAATCTCAGCATAGAGATTTCCGGACAGGTGAATTCTCCTATCGACGGTCGAGGTATTTCCCCCCCGCCCCGTTTTTTTTTACCGTTCTCGCGAAGCTCTCTCGAGTCTCCGGGTCGCGATCGAAACGGGTCGCGATAATTTCCCGAAGTGAAACGAATCCAATCTGAATCTAATTAATTTGCTCGATTTTAATCTAAAGTTTCGGGGTTGTCTTTAGTCCCCGGTGTGTTTGCGATGTTTCGATAGGGCGCTTCTCTCCCAGAGGTATTTCCACTCCCCCGCGAATTTTGCTGAATTCTTGCGGAAGAGTGTCGGCTCTCTCACGCAACGCTCGATCTCCCGGAACGAGCGTCTCGAACGACACGGAAACTTTTAATCGCCGGGCAATTAAAACTCGCGGCAGGTCACGAACGCGATTCTCCTCTCGAGTCCGCTCTCCAGAAAGAATCTTAAGAGAAACGGAACTTCTCTCCATCTCGAATCGCTGCTGTTCAAAAGATTCTATTTTCCAATCTATGCCCAAGAAAACCTTACTCCCTCCCAAGCCTTAATCTTCCCTCTATCTTTGTTTCATTCTGTATTCTTATCGACGAGATTTGGAAAAAAAATTAGTGAAGAGTCAAGATCGACGGATTATCTCCGCAAGAAAGCGGAGTTTTACAGCTTCCAAAAATACTTGATATTACCACTAGCAAATTGTGTTTCGCGAGAAATCGTATCCTATGAGAAAGACTCGTCCTCGTAGAAGCGGCAGACATTACGAGATAATTTTCCGGTCGACAGCAAAGCAGGAAGTTATTTCAGTAGCAAGAACAAAGCTCCCGTGGGATTGCTCGTCTCTTGGCGAGCGCGAGACCATTCAGCGCGGTCGCAATGATCGATCGATCGACGAGTCCTTAAGCGAACGGGATCCTCTCGGTCGATTTTGATAGACAGCGATAAATCAGTTTTCTCACGCGCGCGTTCTCCTTTTTCCTCCCTTTCTCCCTCTCTCTATCTCTCCCTGCCTCCCCTTTTCCTCCCATTCCCTCCCCCCCTCTCTCTCTCTTCCTAAAAGTTCTCGTTCACATTTTGCCGTATTTTGGGACCTACTAGGCCTTTTACCCTCCCCCTTTACCCGTGTAACTCATCGTTCTCCATGACTCAGCTGTTATATACACCACGATCATTCTTCCTCTATCTTTCCAGTTTCTTTCCACCTTCCTTTCCCTTTTTTTTTAATACTTGAGCTCATCCTGGCTTTTCACTGTTTGGCTGTGATAAGATCTACGAGATATTTCGCGATGGTCGTACCTACACGTACTCTTTTTATAGAGACCCGAAATGAGAGAGAGAGAGAGAGAGAGAGAGAGAGAGAGAGAGAGAGAGAGAGAGAGAGAGAGAGAGAAATATAAATGAAATAAATGAAAATATATCGGTCGGCTGGCTAGTCGCCACGGAGGCGTGCGCACACGTAATTAAATAAATAGATAAATCCATAAATAAATATAAGTGGATAACCAAGATAATAAATGATACCATAAATCCGTCGGTAAACAGACAGACGAATGAGTGTTTCGTTAATAAACAAACTGCGCGGCGCGCGCGCGTTGCGGATCGATAAATTTTTCGCAGCGCGCGGACGGGCATTAATTGCGCCGACAAATAAATAATCGGCGCGCAAATTGCGCGGTCGCGGACCTCCCCCCCCCCCCCCATCGACGGGCCACCGCTGACTTTTCGCCTGTCCCCTGCCCGTCCCCTGACCCCCGCAGGCGCTGTCCCCCGCGATTTAATTCCGCGGCCCCCGCCGTCGGCGATCGATTCTAATTTCGGCCCGCATGAAAAATTCAGCGCGGCTCCCCGGACGCCGGAGCTCGAAAGAGGGGGGAGCGTGGGGGAGGGGACATCAAATGAGACCGCCTAATTTCTAATTAAGGAGCGACTCCCGATTAGCTTGCGCGGCCACGAACACAGAAATCGCCGCCGACCGCAGCCGCCGATGGAACCGCGGCAGGGGCGGTGGGGGAGGCGAAAGAGATTACCAGCGATGTTGCCCAGCCCTCCTCCCACTAATATTGCATTTGCATCGCAATTACATCAGTGCCCCGTCATCAATGCCCCTCCGTGCATCTCTTTGCGTCTCGTATTGCGTTTGACACGCGTTCCCTTTCTAGCCATCTCTTATCCCCGATCCTAATCCCGTCATCCTAATTACCCTTCGGATCTCCGAGGCTTGGAAATTTCTTACTAGACGAAATCCGATATCCGTGTCAAAGCTGAAGTCACATGGAAAAAAGGGGGAAGACGGAGATTCGAAATTTCGGGTAAAAATCGATAAAAGGGGCGATGCGTTTTCTTAGAGCGAGTCTCACAAACGTCGGTCAACTGCTAACCTCAGGTTAATTGATTCTCTCCCTCTTCTTGGATTAATAAGATGGGAAAAGATAGGGAGTTGACTGAACTCGGGTTAACAGTTAACCGACGTTTGTGAAATCGGCCCTCAACGGTCGACCGCGACATCCTCCGTCCGGTTTCCAGTTGGAGACCCTCAGATTCCCTCGGAGTAGCGCACGGGTACGGTTTTTAATTGTTTATCGAGGGGGCGGGGGGGGGGACAGTTCCGGTGCCGATTGGACGGAGGCGGTCTCCATCCGGGACGGACGGCGAACGCCATGAATACGCCATGACAGGCGCCCGGGATGAGTTCGCTCGATGGTAATCACGTGTATTATTAATGCGCAAGCCGCAGCGCGCCATTGATACGTCGATAGTGCGCCATTAGCAGCGGCTGCGGTCGCCGACTGCACGCCACCCCATGCGTCTCCGCTGCATCCCCGTCGTCGTTCACAGTGTCGCGTGCAACTGATAACTGCAACTTCCCCGTAAAGGGTACACAGCCTCCCCCCCTCCCCCCCGCGACACCTGGAAATCGCCCCCTGATTCGCTCGTTCTTAATTTCCGCAATGACAACCGTCCGTCCGCCTCTCGGATTGCTGCCTCGCGACGTCGTCGTCAATGTCATGATTATCACTGTTGAGTGATATCACTAATTATCATTCGTTGTAATGTTGAAAAGCGCGCATGTACTCTTAAGGGGATGCTGGAGTGACTCTGCACTTTTGCACCTTCCTAACCTAAAAACTGTCAGTTCGCGGAAACATTTGTATAATATACAAATTAAATGGCTTACGTGTACAGATCGAAAGCAGCTCGCTATTCCGGCCAAATGAAAGAATAATACGGCATCATTGAAACTAAGTTTATAAGTCCAATAAGAAATAATAGTGAGCAACACATACATACAGTACATGTAGTATATGTGTTGCTCACTATTATTTTTTATTAGACTTACAAACATAGTTTCAGTGATATCATATTGTTCTTTAATTTAGCCGGAATAGCAAGCTGCTTTCGATCATCTGTACACGTGCCATTTAATTTGTGTATTACACAAATCTTTCCACGAAACAGACAGTTTTAAGTGCGAAAGGTGCGAAAGTGCAGAATCACTCCAGCATCCCCTTAATGGGTACGCGAACCGCGGCGCCGCTTGATAGTTCGCATTCCTTGCTCCGACTTGTGTTCGGACATCTTCGTACGTCTTTAGTCAGTCGCTATGAGAACTGTATAATATAGATCGGCTGTGCGCTTTAAACGTTCAACTAATTGGTGAAGTGCCAATTTGATTAATTTCATCAGTTTATCTTCATTTGAACTCTAAATCTCTCTTCGTTGCTTCGAGTTAAATAATTATTATATATATGTATATACAGGGTGTACTAAAACCACCGGATATCCTTTTAATCGTAGATTCCTTAGAAAATTTCGAAAGGAAAATTCTAAAAAAAAATGTCGAGACTATGATAGTTTTTAAATAATAAGCGATTATATTTCACAAATGACAGGTCTGAGATTTCGCGCGGTCAGGCACGGCGACATGACGAGTGATAAAAGTGTTCCTATGTGTTTCGCGAGCGAGCGGGAACCAAAGTCACCGTTTAACGGGACAGAAAATATTTGGGAAGACGATGATCCGGTTATTTTGAAAACTCGAGGATAAAGAGAGGCAGGAGATTAGATTGAATCTAACTGAAAATTCCAAGTTCACTCAGAATATCGGAGATCGACTAAATCGAAGGATATCAGTCTGATCAAGATGCTCATCATAGTGAACCACTCCCTTTTATTAATAAGACGTTACACAAAGTTAACAAAAGAAATGGTTAAAGATAACAAGAGGAACAATTAATTCGAGAATGAATCGTTAAGTTCTATTGTGAAAGTTGTCACTATGCTAAAAAGGGCGATATTCGTAGGAACACCTTTATCACTTGTCGTGCCGCCGTACCTGAGCGCGCGAAATCTCAGGCCTGTCATTTGTGAAATGTAATCGCTTATTATTTAAAAACTATTATAGCCTCGACATTTTTGTATTAGAATTTTTGTCTTGAAAGTTTCTAAGGAATTTATGATTAAAAGGATATCTGGTGGTTTCAGTACACCCTGTATATGTGTGTGTATACGTACACACATGCACTCACATTGACACGCACACACACGCGCGCGCGCGAATCCTTTATAATAAAACTCCTGTTCACGCAGCGACCACAAGCTCAATCAATTCTATTCCACGTGCGAATAAGCATTTTTCCAACAATCACCATATTATAGGAAAGATTTGGAGGAAGAGAGGCTGAGGGTGGGTAGGATGGTCGAAGCCGAAGCAAGGAAGCGTAAACGTGAACCCAAGTCTGATGGTTAAAGTCCGGTGTTGATAACTAAATAAAACATGATATAATCATACAAGTTTAATACATTATGATAACGCGATGCATTAAATTAATTGACATCAATAATTCATGTTGTAGCAGTAAATGTATAATTCACGTCAAATTACGGTGACGAGGTATCAACCGACGTATTATTGCTCTAATACGCGTCATTATTGTTAATAAAATATCTTCTACGGGCCTT